GTACACTTTTTGGAGAGGGCGGTGGGCTTTGCATACATCAGAACAAATCATCATGAGGCACGGGAAAATTGAACAACAACTCTGAGACGTGATTGGCAAATTCATTGGCGGGCGGGGGTGATTGGTCATTCCTAAGGGGGGGGTACACATTCACACTGATTGGTTCAGGCCCTGTGACAAACTGCACAGGGCCCTAGGCTAAATGGCTAGTAGGGTGTTGTCTTAACTATCTCAGGAATCTGGGTGTAACAGAGGAACTCAATAATACCTAATCTTTTACATTTTAATTCAAGCCTTCCAGTTTAGAAACTTTACCCTTTCAAGGGAAGTAGTGCAGTGACCAAGAACATAAACTCTGGAGTCTGGCTGCAAACATTGGAGTCTCAGCTTCTGCATTTGTAGTTACTTAAGCCTCCTGGGCTTCATTTAGTAAAATGGGGATGACAGTAATAATATGTCCCATAGGGTTATTAGGATTAGACAAGTTGGTACATGTAGAACAATTATTTCAGTGTGGGACAGAGTGAGCATTTGAAAGGGTTTTGGCTAGGCCAGATAACCTGATAGTTGGTAAAACTTCAGTCTAGGGAACACTTATTCTATTTTATAAAACGAAGTGTTGTCCAGTTCTAGGATTGCAAATAAAGTCAACTTAGATCTTAAAAACAAACAAATAAAAGCACACCAATCTAACTGTGAATCCAATCAGTTGAAGGCCTTAAGACAAAAAGACAGAAGTGCCCTGAGGAAAAAAAGAATTTTAAAGAACGAATTTTCTATACTTTTTTGGAATGTAATAGGAAACTCCAGATGTTCCAAAATCCTTTATCTTTTTTTTTTTAATACTGGGGATCTAACCCAGGGACGCTTTACTACTGAGCTACATACCCAGCCTGTTTTTATTTTAAATTTTGAAACAGGGTCTCACTAAGTTGCTGAGGCTGCCCTTGAATTTGTGATCCTCCTGCCTCAGCCTCCCAAGCTTTTGGGATCACAGGTGTGCACCACCACGCCCAACCCAAAACTCTTTACTTTTTGCAGTGCTTTGGATTATACCCAGAACCTCATGCACGCTAGGCATAGCACTCTCCAACCAAGTCACATCTCCATCCCAGGAATAAGGAATTTTGACTCTAAATTGTCTGCAATATCAACTCTTCCCTGGGTTCCTGATCTGCTGCTGTTGGCCTTCCCTATAGCGTTTGGACTTGCCAGCCCCGCTAATTCTTTAAAATAACTCTGTGTGTGTTTTCTGGAGAACCCTGACTATTTGTTTGCAGCATAGAGTGATACTATATCCTGGTTCTTAGTTAAGAGTACAAGCAAGCTGGGCATGGTGGTACATACCTGGAATCCCAGCTACTCAGGAGACTGAGGCAGGAGGCTCAGAAGTTTGAGGCTAGCTTCAGAAACTTATTAAGACCCCCATCTCAAAATAAGAAAAGAAAGAAAGAAAGAAAGAAAGAAAGAAAGAAAGAAAGAAAGAAAGAAAGAAAGAAAGAAAGAAAGAAAGAAAGAAAGAAAGAAAAAGGGCTGGGGTTGTGGTTCAAGCACTCCTGAGTTCAATCCCTGATACCAAAAAAAAAAAAAAAAAAGGCCTTTTTCCCCAACTGGAAGTAGAGAGCCTATAATGCTTTGTGAAACAATGTTGCATCAATGGGTATAGGATTCATTACATTTACAAGAGAGAGAAACTAGTACAAGAGAGAACAGGTAGAAAAATATGACATGTTCTTGCATTATGCAGTTCTTTATAGCTCATTACCAAAGAGCAGGATGTTTCTTTGCAGGTTACACTGGTTACATTCAAGGTCATACAGAGCTCCCTCATGGGTGCAGCATGGTGCCCCTCTCTTGGTCTCCTTTCTTACTTCTCTGCTATGACCCTGCTTTCCTCCCAGGTCCCGGCTTCTTGTCTCATCCTATGGTCTCAGGTAGTATGGGTTAGAAAATGGAGTTTTGCTGTTCTTTGTTTCCTGGGTAAAGTATTTCCTCCTTTCACCTTGGTAGGATGACCCTAGATTACTTACTTTTTATTAAAGCTTCTTCAAGAAAACAGATCTCTCTTTTATTTCATACTTCTCATGGCATAACTATTAGGTGTTATTTGCTTATTTGAACTTCTAAAGCTTTTTTTTCTGCAGTGTTTTTTGTAAATAAAAATCTAGATTACCAATGCCAAAATCAAGTATAAAAGGAACTGGCTTTAAAGTCTATATTTAACACTGCTAGGGAAAGAAACACAGTTGGTTACTTTCCCAGAGTATGCTAATTAGGTGGAAAAATAATACTTTCTTTTCTGCTATTGGGAGAGAAAGTGACCAATAGAAAAGCAGTTTAGCACCTACACCCACTTTATGTACAAAACAGAGGTATGCTTGTGCATGCCAATAACTCATGCCTGTGTTTGCCTGACAACTAGCAACAAATGTGCCTTTCATCATCTCTTACAATGTTACCTTGAAATTCCAAACTCAAATCTGAATGGGACTCAGAATAGACAATGAATTTAGAAAACTACATATCATTTCCAACAGGATATAAGTGTTCATGCTTCTAATATTACAGATTTCGAAGACAATGAGTTTTTCTTACTACTGTGTGCATTTCTTTGTTATGAACTTGTTACATATTCACTTCATTCCACTGACAAAAAAAGTACTGAATATTCTCTATGAGGATTACAAGGGTATTTTTGGCTTCTTTTGGCCAAATCCAAACAGCTTTAGTGACATTATTTGGGAATCAATAATGTGTTTTAGATACTTAAAGGTATAATTTTCCTTGCGTAACTCAGTGCCATTTTCCACAGCTAGAAGTGTTATAGTTAAAGCTTCATCTCAGGGTTTCATAAACTGACTTCCAGACCACTCACATATAATCGAATCAAACCTTTATTGAAGCACACCGGTGGTGGCTGACCAGAACATAAAGCTGTTCCCCTGATCAGCCCCAAACAATTGCAAGGGCGCTCCTTATAAGCCTGAAAACTGCAAAAGGGATGTTTGGGGGTCCAGCCAATGCAAGCAAGCCAGGTTACAGAAGCTGGACAGTGCAGTCAAGCGGAGGGAAGCCTAACCAATCACAGTCCAGTCACACCAGTTACAGAAACAGAGCCCCATTAGGTAGTTCTGTGTTCTTAAAGGTTTCTATAGCAAAAGGAAAAGAACATCTTGCCCCAGTCATGACCCTTCTACTTGGCATGGTTGTTTTACAGGATGAAGTCATAAAACAAAATGGAGTCACATTTGCTTCTACTATCATAAAGGATACAATATTAATGTCCAATTTCTTTGTATGTTGTTTTATAGGGCTTCCAATATTTTTTAAACTGTATGTTTATAGGCTCCTTTGTTGCACTATAAAATCTTCAAAGAGTTATAACACTGTTTATTTTTAGGGGACACTTTATTCTCTGCCTAGTTGAGTTCTTGGAGCAATTTGTAAGTCAGCCAGAACAGGTTATATTTAGTGTGCTGCTCTATAGATGATAAAACAAAAACTCAGAGAAATTAATTACTTTCCTGTAGCCCTACATTGGTCAAAAGTAATGCTGGAGCCCTTCAGGGGCTCAAATATAAGGAACATTTTTCTGTGTTTCCAAAATACTTCTCAAGAGCTGGAGACTTGTTCCTTCCTTCTCTGTTCTTTCTTGGCAGTCTTGTATAATATTCAACGAGTGAATAATAACACCATACTTTTCCAATCGTAGAATTCATCATACTTAGATACAAGCTAATTATTTCTCTTTGCCCCTTTCAATTTTCAGGAGAGTAGACAATCTTTACATTGTTCCTTCATTGCTATAAATCCAGGGCCTAATATACTGCCTAATGTTATAGGAACTTCACAAATATTTATTGAGTGAATGTGTGAAAATTCCTTTTAGTAGCATGTGCCAGGACTCGGATTCTACCTTCAGCATGGAAAAACAATTTGTTTTTCTTCTTAGATTGTAATTGTCCCAAGAAAAATTCAAGCAGATGATTTTAAGTTGGAGCTAATGTCTGTATCAGTTGAGACGTGTTAGGTAAAGTTAAAGGTAAAGATGCAGAAATAAATAACATAAAAATATTGGAGTCTTGAAACAACAAAGTTTTTTTTCTTGCTCACACTACATGGCCATCATGAGTTGGCTGTGAGATTCTCTTCTTCATTGATACCTAGGGACCCAGATGGAAGGAGCAGCCACCATTTGAAACATTGTTAGTTACAATGACAGAAGAAAGGAAGCTTCTGAAGGTCTTGAACAGGGATATTAAGTTCTATTAGTTAGCAAAGACCTTTTACCTCCACTCAAAATTGTTTGACCAGAACTAGCCACAGGCCCCCTGTTCTCCCCTGGCACCACATATAAGGAGTCTGGGAACTTCCTCAGCAGTAAAGAGCAAGAAATATTTGGCTAACAGTGCTAAGAATGATTTTTTATATATCATATTTTATTGTATTTTTTATATATCATATTTTACTTCCCTAATTTTGAGCTTTTGTAATTTAGATAACAAAAAGGAATTTTTGTTTATCATCTTTTTTGAAAAATTAATTTACAAAACATAATTACCTTCACAATATGTAATTGTGATGAGAAACTGGTGCTTGGTGGAATTAAATATTTGAATAAAATCAAATGAGATTATCAATGGTGGAAATGGAAAGATAATCCGATCTCGGTGCCATTGATACTGGATGAAACTTACTTGTTTCGTATTTGCAGAGGTAAATTACATGTAGGGAATGCAATATTCATTTAAAAGTAAAATCGTTTCAAGTTTAATTGGGTCCAAGAACATGATTTAAACATTCTGTGTTAATGTTTTGGCAATCATTCTGGTGAGACAGAAGAGACATCTGGGCTAGCAATTCAGGATAGAGCAGCCTAAATCACAGAAAAATACATGCTATTGTCCTAGGTCAGGGTAACAGGAGCTCAGCTGAACGAAGGAGTAGAGTGCTATATCTACTTAACATTTTTTTATGCATATATTTTTTATTAAATGATAGAAAACATGAAAGGCTTCACAAATTTGCATGTCATCTTTGCTCAATGGCCATGTTAATCTTCTCTGTATTGTTCTAATTTTAGTATATGTCCTGCCAAAGTGAGCTCCCACTTGATTCTTTTAGATGTTGTGCAGTGATTTGTCCTGTCAAGGCAACCTCTGGTGAATTCTCCTTGTAATATATTTAACTATGATTTAGAGATTGAAAAACTAGAAGTCTAGGGTGGGGTGGTGTTTGCCAGGAATCCCAACTCAGCAGGTTGTGGTAGGAGGATCACAAGATTGTAAGTTTGAGGCCAGCCTCAGCAATTTAGGGAGAATCTAGCATGTACTGAGACCGTGTCTCAAAACAAAAAATAAAAAAGGCTGGAGGTTAGCTCAGTAGTTAAGTGCCTCTGGGTTCAATCCCCACTACCAAAATATATATATATATATCACGAAGTATGTAAAAGAAGTAAACCGCTGGCTTTATTTTTCCTCACCCCAACCTCCCTGATGCTGAAGATGAAACCCAGGGGTTTACATCCCAAGTCCTAAGCAAGTGCTCTACCACTGAGCAGGTCCCCCTGGTTTTAGGATATGGAATGGTATGTTTTCCAGTGTAATTCTGAGGACTATACCAGTATCAAAGATATTCTAAAGATAGTCCCACTGACTTTGTTTATTGTATGACTATGGATTACGGTCCATTATAGTAAAATGATGTAGAAAAGCCACAATGTTCTCAGATGCTGGTCATGCAGTTTGCAAGAACTTAAAAAGAAGGTCAAAACTCCAGGGACTATCTATCTCTCACCCTGCACAAAACTCAACTCAAAATGGATCAAGGACTAGACATTAGACTGGAGACCCTGCACCTATTAGAAGAAAAAGTAGGCCCCGACCCAAATCTCTAACATGTTGGTTTAGGAATTGAATTTCCTCAACATGACTCTTAAAGCACAAGAAGTAAAATAAAGAATTAATAAATGGGATGGTATCAAATTAAAAAGCTTCTTTACAGCAAAGGAAACAATCAAGAACGTGAAGAGAGAGCCTACAGAATAGGAGAAAAATCTTTGCTACCTGCACAACAGATAGAATATTAATCTCCAGTATATACAAATAACTCAAAACAACTTTAACACCAAAAGCAAAACAAATAACCCAATAAATAAATGGGCTAAAGAACTGAATAGACACTTCACAGAAGTATAATCAGTCAACAAATACGTGGAAACACATTCAACATTTCTAGCAATTAGAGAAATGCAAAGTAAAACCGCACTGAGATTTCATCTTATTCCAGTCAGACGGCAATTTTCTTTTTAAAAAAAAAAATTTTATTTTTTATAATTTATTTTATTTATTTTATTAGTTCTAATCAGTTATACATGACAGCAGAAAGTTCTTCAATTTGTTGTACACAAAAGGAGCAGAATTTTTTTTACTTCTCTGGTTGTATATGAAGTAGAGTCACACCATTCGTACAATCATACATGTATTTAGGGTAATTATGTCCATCTCATTCCACCATCTTTCCTGCCCCCATGCTCCCTACCCCCCTGCAATTTTCAAGAACATAAATAATGATAAACATTGGCAAGGATGTGGGGGAAAAGGTATATTCATACATTGCTGGTGGGACTGCAACTTGATGCAAACACTCTGGAAATCAGTATGGAGGTTCCTCAGAAAACTTGGAATGGAACACCATTTGATCCAGTTATCCCTCTCTGTGGTATATACCTAAAGGACTTAAAATCAGCATACTACAGTGACACAGCCACATCAATTCTTATAGCAGCTCAATTCACAATAGCTAAACTATGGAACTAACCTTCAACAGCCCTTCAACACATGAATGGATAAAGAAAATATGGTATATATACATACTGGAATATTACTCAGCCATAATGAAGAATGAAATTATGCCATTTGCAGTTAAATGGATGGAACTGGAGACTATCTTATTAAGTGAAATAAACCAATCCCCCAAAACCAAAGAACAATTCTCTCTGATATGTGGATGATAACACACAATAAAGGGCAGGGGAGTGGTTAGGGAAGAATAGAAGTACTTTGGATTGGACAAAGGGGAATGAAGGAAAGGGAGGGGGAATGGGAATAGAAAAGACAGTAGAATGAATCAGACATAACTTTCCTATGTTCATATATGAATACATGATCAGTGTAACTCCACATCATGTACAACCATAAGAATGGGAAGTTATATTCCACATATGTATAATATGTCAAAATACATTCTACTATAATGCATAACTAAAAATAACAAATAAAAAATTAAGGAAAAAACCCTTCATGGATAGTTAAGAATATTTTATACTTCCAAGAGTAAAATTTCCCATATCAACAGTTCCTTATTGCCCCCAATTTTACCTTCGTGAAAGCAAAGTCCTTCATTATCTGCACCAAGATCCAAATGTCTGAAATATTGCAATACATGATACTCATCAATGATGAGTAGATTAAAAAAAATAACTTTTTTTCGTGTGTGTGTGTGCTGGGGATCAAACTCTGGGCTTTGTGCATGCAAGGCAAGCACTATACCTCAGCACCCCCCCCAATAACTTGATTGTAATTTAGTTACCAAAATGTTCCATCAAAAGACAAGGTCATCACCAAGGATATGTACTAGAAAGTTCACAGTAGCACTGCTTATAATAGCTTCAAAGTGGAAACTACCTCAACATTCATCAGAAGAATAAATTCATAAATTAGGTATAATTACAGAATGGAATAAAATGAATTATCCATAACTATGTGCAATAATATGGAAAACCCACAAGCATAATGTTGGATCAAAGAAGCCAAACATAAAATAATGCATATTTATTCAATGATTTTATATTTATCAAGTGTAAGGATAGTTAGAACTATGTTATTCAAAGTCAGCATAGAGACTGCCCTTGGGAGGAAGCCTTGACAGGAAGGCAGTATGATGGGGTTCCTAGGATTACTAATGTTCTATTTCTTGACCTGGATTCTGGATACAAAGATATGTTCTGGTTGTGAACATTACTTGAGCAGTAATGTTCTTAGGATATATGCACTTGTCTATATGCATATCATATTGCAATTAGAAGTTGAAAAAGAAAGAAAATTCCAGAAAATTCATGAAAAATGACTCTCAACCCAACACAATCCTCAAGGTTGTTACTATAATTTGAGAGTCATCAATACAAGCATCAGTCTCTAAAGAGGTTATTAAATGCACTGGATTCTGAATAGTTGTCCCTGGCCCTGGATAACTAAAAAAAAATGTCAAAATGAGTTAATCATTTGCCTTTAAGCTTTCTACTCGCTCTGCTTTTCTCACCTTCAGTGCTATCACGGGAGTCTGTCATCCTCTACCTAAATCTCATCTACCATAATCTCTGTCAGTCTCTCAATGGCCCATTCTACCTATTCTCTGTACATTAACCAAGGTGATTTAAAGCCTAAACCACATCCTTGAACTCCTCTGTTTCAAATGCCCAAGTAGAGGTTCATTAAATATAAAATGTAAGGCCTCCGTCTCCTTCACCTATTTATTTCTTAATTTATTTCTTATGGTAGTTCTTTCCCTCCCTCAAGGTATTGTATACTAGAGCCACACTGGTCTTCTCCCTGTTCTTCCAAAATGCCAAGTTGTTCCTTAGGACCTTTGTTCTTCTGTCCCCTCTGTCCAGAACAGTCATCCCTTCACTAGTTTCAACGACCAATTCCCTTCTCAGTCTGAGACTTAACTTAGATACCATTCTATAAACTACTCTTGTAACCACCCTTTCTGAAGTCTACCCCTCTTTATTCTTCATATCTCTTCTGTTTCCTCCTTGGATAGGATTTATCTTTAAAAAAAATTTTTTTTTAGTTATAAATGGAAACTTTATTTTGTTTGTTTATTTGTTTATTTAAACACAAGTATTGTGACTATGAGTTGTCGAAGCAGCTATGAGGAAAGAATCTGTGAATTATTCAGGAAAAAAGAGGTTTTCTGATTTGAAATAATAAGCATCTCTTTGGCAATAATGGAAAGAAAAAAAAGGAAGGGAGGAAAAAAGCAAGAAAGGAAATGAGGGAGGAAGCAGAGATCGATTACTAGAAAGAAGAGGAAAAATGGGAAAATGATAAGGTGGTCCAGTGGGGGGGGTGGAAGAGAGAGAGAGAGAGAATAATAATAATAATAATAATAATAATAATAGAAATAGACAAAAACAGACTATATATCTATTTATTTATTTTATGTGGTGCTGAGGATCGAACCCCCTGGGAGGCGAGCGCTTTGCCACTGAGCCCCACCCAACCCTAGGATTGATCTTTTACATGCTAGTTTACTTGTTAGTTTTCTCCCTCTTTTCCCCTTAGACTGTAAATTCTCTAAGGGCCGCGATCATGTCTATCAGAGTCAGGTTTGTATTTCCAGTGCCTAGTACTGCCCGGTGGCGTTCAGGAGGTCCTTCATGAACATAGAAATGCTTGTCGAATGAATGAATCAACAATCCCAAGAGATCATAAAATGCCTGTTTGTTCAGCCATGAATAACGTTGCACTGGCGATTTGCAAAAGAACGAGGAACGAAACCAGATGCCTTTCAAGCTCAATGCCCAGGCAAAGTGCCCTTATCGGTTTCCTAGTTGTCACAACCACCGCCCCCTGGCCCCACACACCTCCCTCCTTCAACCGCTGGCAAGGTACCAAATCTCCCTTCCCCACCCACTGTCTCCGCTGGAGCGCGCTGCACCGACCTCGGGAGGGCGGGGCGCCTCCGCGAGCTGCTATTGGTCCAAGTCTACGTCGCTCTGCAGCGCGCTGCAGCAAGGCTGCGAAGTCAAATTGCAGCTGCGGGAGGCTCGTTCCTTTCGGGATCTGTGAGTAGCTGCGGTTATAGATGGGCGCACCTCCTCGCCAAGCGTTGATTGGCCAGAGCTGCCGTCAGTCAGAGGGAACAGACTTCCCTTCTCCATCTGGCCAACTGCGGGCAAAAAAAAAAAAAATTTCGAGACTGACCAGGAGATGAGGCAGTGGCTCCTTTGATTGCTTGCTCCAGAGGTAGAGTACAACGAAGAAGGCGATCTTGTTTACCGATCAAGAAAGTCCCTCTTTTGCCCTTCGTTAGCTAATTA